TTTAATACCGGTCTACATTAACGGAGATATTCAACATTTTCACAGCTTTAGCCTATTAATTTTTTTTGCAAGTTATAACATTTATCAGTATATAACAAATTATTTGAAATTTTGTGAAAAAAATTTGTAATATACCATTTTTGAAAAAGTTTTTCTTGGTTCTGTAAAATAATTTAAAAAAAATTTGTCAATATTTTACGTGAGATGACAATTGTAATTAATGGTATTATTTACATGTTCGGGCTGTTGTCCTCATTTTAATGAGATATTCATGATGTTTTTTTCAAATTCGCCAAATACTTTCTTTTTTAAATTTTGATTAAACAGGAAATAACTATTTTCCCTAAATTTGACGAAGAAAAGAACAATTCAACCGATAAGATGAAATCAATGACAAATGGCCAATGTTAAACAAAGACAGAAATTTCCTGAATATTTGAATCTATATTTAAAATTCTGAACAATGTTTATAAATAATATGTTCAATAAAATTAAATTTGTTGGCCTAATAAGAATTTGGATTTTTATTCCAATTTTTCGATAAGAAAAATTGTTTAGATAATTTTAACATCTTTAAAAACATTTTTGATTCGTAATGAATTGTCATTGGTGCGGGGAATATAAACAAATAAAAAAATTTTAAACGTAGACATTGGACTGAATGTATATATAATAAAAATAATTTTTTTTCACTTGTTAGATTTATTACTGAATTTAACAAATTCAATTTTTCAACCTGTACGTTTAAATTTGAATGCGGAAATTATGATATTTTTAATCAAATGAAAATGTTGAATGTTTAAAAATCACAAGAAAATGCAAATTTGAAGCAATCAACGATATCATAGCCAAAAAGGTTTAAAACCAGAAGGAAATAATCGTCGGAACTATTATGAAGTCTTTTATGATGCTGACACCCAACACCTGGGTAGTTACTACCTGAGATTATTTTTCCTTCGCTCTATGCCAGGACTTTTGATCACTTCTAGGTGCCATGTCCTTTCAGAACGTGGGCGATCATCGCTTTTTATAAGCTCCTAAGCTATCTAAGGAGGTGATAATTGTTATAAAATTAACTGACGAATACAATGTAAACCCCATTTTTATATAATTCTTTTAACTACCCAGTGAACTTTAAATTTATTTAAATCTAATTTAAATGATTTTAAGCATTCTTAATATAATATTTTATTGAAATTTAGGTAATTTGGCTTTATAGTCTTATAAAAAATATATTTAAAAAAATTTTAGAAAAATTATCAATAAATTTTAAATTTATTTGATTTATTGCTCTTATTTTCTGATAAATCGTAAACATAAATGTTTTTTCAAAGTCATCACTTTTTAAGAGGAATCAGATTTTTCATAAATAATTGTCTTTCATGGTAATCCTCTATAGTACCAAGACTTTATGAATTTTAGCACAGTAGTAGATTATATAAATAAGTTTTCATCAATTTACATTTTTAAAACTAGATTTTTACCGTAATGCTTATGCTAAAATAGTTTCTTCTAACATAATGAATACCTTCCTTGTGCTTTTCTTATAACTTTTTTAAAGTAATTGTTCTGATGAATCTTCTAGATTCTTCCTAGACTTTATGAATTTAAGCGTACCACTAGATTAAATCATCAAAAAATAATCATTTTACAAAATAAATGGCTAATTAAAGTAACGTTCTACTTTAATTCAGTTTCTTCTCTCGTTTTCTCGCTTGTTTTGCTAAAAAACTTAGGCATTCCAACATAATTTTGACCTTCAAAAATTTAAATGCAACGTCAATCGTTATCTACTGTCTTCTTGGTTACTTTTCTTTTATTGTAATCGCTTTATGGTCAAACTCCTATCCATTGTAATTTTTCCTTAGAATTAAAAATTTTATGTTTTCAGTTTCTTCTATCTTTATAGGCTTCAGAATTTCTTCCGGCTCAACCTTTTCCACCAAATTTTTAAGTATAAAATTTGTATTCTGTGCAAAGCGAAGTCTGCTGTTAAGGAAGTTGGTTCACTGTGTCGCGCTAGACAATTTTTCTCGTCAGAATCTATCTTGCATATTTATATAAGTATATTATTTATCTATGCTTTAATATTGATGCTCCTAATATATATTTAAAGATTCTTGATAAAATCCAAAAGAATCAAGCAATATTATTGATCCTGACCTGGCTTTTCACAAATTTGATCATTTCCCACCGCCGTAATGTATGCTTTTATGGAACTTTTCTATAAAATAAAAGAAATGGTAATTGTTCTTTTGAACTCTATTATCGTATGGTAACTTTAAGAATTTAAATTTTAAACTAGATTTTCTTTAAGGTCTCGTTATTTGAAAAATTGGTTTTTGTAATTTGTACCGTAAAATCTAAGTCTAATATTTTTTTAAAATTTCTCGCTTGTGGAACTCTCTTCCGAACTCCATGCTTTCCAGCCAACTTTAATCTTCAAAAATTTAAATATAGTGTTAATTGTTATTTTTTTTTTTATTTTTTTTTTTTTTTTTTTTTAAATAAATCACCCCAAGTCTTAAATTACTAGGACGCAAGGGGTTACAGAAAATTTGGAGCAAGATCAGATTTTACATTCATATAAGAAAGGATGATTTTAGGATAAAAAAATAGATTAAATATAATGGAGATGTCGATTGACATTACATTAAAGGCAACTGGAGTTGTCGATTGAAATTACATTTTAGATTTTGGAAATCTTAATAACATTTCTCTTTTATTATGATTATTTCACACTCAGTAGCCCCTTGTATCTTAGGGACTTTACTACCTTGGTTGGGTGAAATTTTCTGCCCAGCCAACAATCAACTAAAATGAACTCATCAATTATTATTCTCACTACTGTAATACAATAAAATCCGGAGTAATTATCGGATGTTATTTAAAAACACTAAGAATCTGCAACCCATGAATAAGAAATATATATTGAAAATATTTTTGAAATCGTCGAATATCCTTACTCTTTAATTTCCCAGATATGCATGTAAAACCTACAACAATAAAAAGGATTATAAAATAATAATAATAATGATAACAACAATAATAACAAATTAGATAAAAAAGAGCATATAATATCACCTCATTCCTTAACACTTACTATTTAAAACAATATATCCAATTTTAGCATTAAATTCATTAAATTAATACATTAATTATAACATCATCAAGGATATGATCAGATTAAGAAACAAAAACATTTCATTAGAAACAAAGAAAAGAGTGCTGAACCGCTGTGTGATATCAATCCTTCTATTTGACCGTGAATGTCACAGATGAAGAGGAGACTCGAGGTGTACAGAAATGAACCGACCTTTTGACACTACGTTTTGTGGCCACCTTTATCCATCTTTGCCGATTTTTTTTTATTGATTTTTTGTTCGTTGTCATTAAACTTTCCTCAAAGCACGACGATTTCAAGATCGAAAAATATTGATTTTTTTATTAATTTAGAAATAATTCGTAATATAAATCAATCTCTGATGTCTTTTTTTTGTTTGTTTTTTTTTTTTGTTTTGTTTTGTTTTCTTCAACTTATTTTTATTTCCAAATGTAAGATTCGAAACTGGGTCCACGTGGTCGCGTACTGATGATATCCTTTTTTCCCGATTAGGGTTTTTCTTCATTCTTTTTTTCAATAAATTTTGCACCCATACATAAATTTTTAATTTTTCTTTTTAAATAATTACGAAACAGTTTTAAATTAAAATGAAAAACAACCGGTTATTTTATTTATTTTAAGAAAATGTTTAAAACGAGCAATTGTTTTGTTTAAGAATTTCTTTTTAAATTATAAACGTTAGGTTATAGTGTACACTTCGGCATTTCAAGTTATAATTCATTATCTCACTTTGTGAACCTTCCGCTGTAATAAAGCCAAAAATGAAAATGCATACCGTATTCAACTTCGCATAACACACACCTTCACATAAGACGCCTTCAAATTTTACAAGAATATTTTATCGAAAAATTTTTAGTATGTTTCATCATATACTCATTAAAATCTATTTTAAAGTGGAAAATATAAAGGCAAATGAATAATTTTGTGCCTGCATATACAATATTATAACAGTAGATTGGAATAAAGTATGAAATTATATACTGTAAAGAAATTAAATAAAATTTGCCAAAACAAGTAAGAAATACCGCTACATTTTGATAAATGAGTACTGATACATATAAACGAAGCAAACTAGTATAAACCAATCAGTAAAATACAATAGATGTGAATGAATTCTTATATATAATTAAAATAGATGCAGCCAAGGCAATCAGAAAAATGCAATAAATGTGAATGAATTCTTATAGATAATTGCAATACATGCAGTCAAGGTAATCAGTAACGTACAATTAATATGAATGAATTCATATAGATAATTACAATAAATGCAGCCAAGGCAATCAGTAAAGTACAATAAATGTGAATGAATTCATATAGATAATTACAATAGATGCAGCCAAGGCAAGCAGTAAAGTACAATAAATGTGAATTGATTCTTGTAGATAATTACAATGCATGCAGACAAGGCAAAATATTTCACTGGATATTATCAGTAGTACAGGGATAAACCTGAATGGATTCGAACAGAAATTCGTATTTCAGCAAATAGTACAGATTACAAAAACAATTTACTGTAATAATTTGTCATGTTTTCTATTTTTATTACTTTGTATGCCTATCGGACTCATGTTCATCCGACACCCTCGACATCTCCCTTCGTAATTATTTCTTTTCTTTTTTTTTTTTTTTTTTTGGTACATCAAAAAAGATTTTTAAAAATGCATTTATCTAAAGGCTAATAGCATTAATCACCTTCTGATAAAATTATTTAAAATGAGAAAAATCCGTAATATATTCTCCTATTTGGTTTTATCGTTAATAGGGAAAATTTCAGAAATGATTATTAAAAACACCACACCAGAAGCAGATTAATTTTAGCATAAAATTCTTGACTGCCTTTCTTTAGAAAAATCTATATTTTATTGTATCTTTTCTTTACGGCCACATTACGTTGAAACATTGGTTCCCGTACAATCACTGAAGTTAAGCAATGTCGAGCCTAGTGAGTAGTACCTAGATGGGTGAGCGCTTGGGAATACCAGATGCTATAAGTTTGGATGTGCGGGTGAAATGGATAACGGCTCGGAATTGTTAATTGGAGAGCCAAGTTCAAATTTCCGTTGGGCTCGTTATATTCACTTACACACAAAAACAACTAGACGGGATATCCGAGACATGGGCAATGCAACAAGAACAATCTACTCTCGTAGAGGAGAAGAAGTTTATTCCTTGTTTCCTGTTTAGGGTTGAGTTTCCGGTGTCTTCTAAAGTCTTCTCACTCTCCTTCACTCTCTCAAGGCCGTGATAGCAACAACAAAGATGGGGACAATAGTCTGCACGTAAATAATGAGAACGCCTCATCCCACAAACTCAGACTGTATTTTTTTCTATTCACAACAATTTGAACCAGTCTTCTTGGTGAGATGAGTCAGATTTGGAGAAATCTCTTCTAATTTCACAATTTCAAAGAATTTTCGTTTATTTATTTATTTTAGGGTGGCTGATTTGTAGTTCTGCTGTAATTAACATTGATGTAGTGTGTCTGTAGTACAGACTCTCAGATGGGAAGATTGATCTTATAGACTTACTGGTACACGGCATTGGGCAAAACAAGTCTTTTCTCTTTGTTCTGGGCTTATGGCCATACCATGTTGACACGTACTATCCCCGAATTTAAGCAACTTCGAGTTTGGTAAATACCTAGGTAGGTGACCGCTTTGGAAATACAAGATACTTTAAGCTTGGATGTGCGAGTACTATAATGGATAATGGCTGTGAATTGAAAATTGGGGTGTTCCAATTCCAATCGAAGTCATTATATTCTCTTACGCGCAAAAACTCTTGGGAAAAGTATGAATCTACTTCGTCTCCTCCTAGCTATGGGTTTAATAGGATTTGTATCAGCAAATAAATCACTGTTATCTTCAAAAAAAAGTCTTACGATCTAAAAATATTTGCTGGCTTTAAAATAGGGACCTCGACAAAAAACGTGATACCTAAGGTTTAACATTAATTTTAAAAATGAAAAAGCAATCTTGAAGCTTTGTTTTTAGCTTTAGCTGAAAGCTAAATGATTAAATTTACTATTTCCAGTAAGCAAAATACTCTGGTGTATTTTAAATAGAAATTCTAATGATTAGAATCTCAACTTTTTGCTGGCTTTCAGAAATCATTTATATTCAGCCATTTTTGACACATTTGTAAACAAATGTTAATTCTCGGTTTTAAGAATCTTCCAAAAATAAAATTTACTTTTCTGAAACTTTATTTGAGGAATATTAGCTGATTTAAAGTATAATTAATCTGACTTGAAAAAAAAAATATTGTTTATTTTAAGTTTAAAATAACTGAAATGAATTTTTAAAACAAACAGTAACGCGATTAGCAACACCTTGATGAGTGATTTACGAGGTATTGACAGTCTTATTATTGTTCTACGTAAACCTTATTGGTTAAAACATAATTGAAGATAATGACGGGTGAACGCATTTTCATATAATTTTTAAATACTCATAATCTTAAAAATGTTGGAAAATATTCTCCGTCGTCTAATTTTAGGAATGTTGAATTTAAATTTACTATAATTATCGCTCTTATTTTCTGAGTATGTCGTGTATGGTGGACCATACTTTCAAACAGGGGCACGTTACGCATACATAAAAAATCAAGAATTCTTTTAAAAATCCTGGTGCTAAACGACTTATATTGAGTTTTTCAATTTTTTATTCGTAAATATAGTTTCAATTTAATTACAATATCACCTAACTGGAAGAAATTAATACAGAATTTTAAACGATTATTATAAATTATTATAATTAAATATTTTAAAATTTTCAGAAATATAGACAGATTGCTTATTGCCCTCTATATATTGCCTACTTCCCCTTATAAATTATTATAATTAAATTTTTAAAAAATGAAAACAATCCCTACAATTTTTTATAGAAATCAAACTGTATTCGAAAATTTAACTTCAGTAAAATTACAACATAAAATACATATATCACCGCCTCTAGTAATTATGTCAATAGAAACATGTATATGCACAAAGCCTGAGTATCATCTACCATCTATTCAATTGTGAAAGCAGAATAACGTATATCATATATTTATTACTTCAAAGCTGAAAAAAATTAAATTTCGGCATTAAATGACCCATAAGGGGTTGATATGCAGTTAAACAAATCAATCAAATCAAATCAGTTCTATGATCATGTATGGTTGAAGGGTTACTGCGCAGCTGAGCACCTGACCAGTTCAATTCACCTATCTTGGTTTAAAGCTGAAGAGGTATTCATTCTAGCCACCCTACTGACAAGAAAAGCCTGGTGGGGCAACCGGTTTTTTAGCCGATGTTCTAGCCATGCGACTGGTAGTATCGGGTTACATGATATCTGTAGAACTCGTCGAAGGACTTGATATAAACGCAGTTTAGATAAATAAATCCATTATTAAGAAAAATAAAGTTTGTAGTTTATTATTTTATGAACAAAACTTAATAAATAGTCGTGAATAGGATAATAAAAATGAGGACGACAGTCCGAACAATGTAAATAGTGTAAATAGTTACAATACCTCATCTCAGAAATAGAGACAGATGTTGAAGGTGAATATGGCAATAAAGATGAGGACAACAGTCCGAACAATGTAAATAGTGTAAATAGTTACAATACCTCATCTCAGAAATAGGACAGATGTTGAAGGTGAATATGGCAATAAAAATGAGGACAACAGTCCGAACAATGTAAATAGTGTAAGCAGTTACACTACCTCATCTCATAAATATAGACAGATTGCTTATTTCTCTCTATATATTGCCTATTTCCGCTTATTGCCAGGCTAAGATCTAAATGCTAAGGTAAATTTTTCAAAGTAAAATGGGAATATTTAAATAACTAACCAATTTAATTATTTAAACTATTAACTAAACAATCCCTTAGACCAGATTGGAATTAAATAACACAAATTTACTTTTTTCTAATTATTTTAAAAATGGATTAGTTATATCCAATAAGCAAAAACCACTGAATTGGGCCAGATATAAGACACATGCTTCTAAATATAACTGATAAAACTGTTATTTATTTGATGTCACAATTTTATGTAATATTTGCACACACGGACATATTTCAAGCAAACACATACACAAACATTCAGTTTTATATATTAGATTATCACTAATAACAAATCGTCATCTGGTAAGAATTCTTCGGAAATATCCAGCTTGGAGCCGATATATATATGAAGCAAAAAGAACCTATGAAATAAACAATCCAGGTGTGTTTCATTCGGTGATAAACTATTAGACTGGAGGTCAACGTGTGTGTTGGTTCTTTCTACCCAGGTGCGAATGTCAGGTAAAGGTAAATAACAATTCGCATAAATAAAGTGAATTAAAATTTGATACAGGTGTGTCAGGTATCTTGTTTTTTACCTGTTCTGTCGAGGTCAACGAGCGATAAGCAGCGGAAGGCAATTTCGTAATGCAAATCAGAAAATTCATGACCTTGTTATTTGGAACCCTTAAAATGTTCGGAAGCTCACTCATCTTTCGGCCATTGCAATGGCTATCGAATTACGACGGGTTATTTTCCTGAACAGGGAAGATACCCAAAAAGGTGGGGGCGTAACGTTTGTTGATGTTATTGTTTACGCATGTAGTGGTGTGGTTGGCGTAACGGTTAGCAACGTTGAAAATAAAATCGGGACGTCGAGTTAGAATTCCAGCGGAGGCTGTTTTGTTCACTTCGCACTAATACACTTGGAAAAGGCAAAAATAACACAACGGACAAGTCTCTCTTGCTTTGTTTACCAATGTAGAAACAGAAAAATAACGAATTCAAGACCGAAGAAATGGCAACGAGAAACAACTTCACTAACATTTTTTGAAATCGTTTCATCCTAAGCAAGGCGATAAAGCCCCTAAAACGCAGGTGGTTACTGAAAGTGAAAGAACATGAGAAAACTTTATTGGGGAGAACGGATAATAAAAGAATATGATTTAAAAAAAAAAAAAATAGAAATCAATGATTGACGTTGCATTTAAATCTTTCAAGGTCATAATTGACAGAAAATCAAGTAGCCGGAAATGAGTTCCACAAACGACAAGCGCGAGAGAAGAAACTATTAGAATAGAAACTATGGTTACTACAACCAATTTAAATAGTAAAGTGATAATTATTGATAACTTTATCGATAGACTTATGTTTGGGAATTTTTCTAAGGGGAACTTAACTATTTAGAGAACATCTACTCTAACTGGGAGTCCTGTTTGCCCTCACAGCACCCCCCCAAAAAATTGATGATTTAAATTTTCTGAAAACTTATCCTTATAACTAATATAAAAATTAAGCGCTACAAAAATGAATTTCTCGAAATTTCATGAAATTAAATAAGTAGGGGGTAACAGATGTAAAAAGAATATTTTACAACGATTTTCTAAACAAGAAACATTTCAAAAATAATTTTATTCAATAAGTCCTCAAAGTTCGTGAAGACGAGGTGCAAAAGAGGAAAAATCATCAGAACTTCTTTCGCAAGAAGAACCATTGCAATGTATAATTTACATATATTAAAGAGGAAACTAAGGAGAGCCATGTTCGCTTATTATCTGAAGTGACTTATAGCATAAAAAATATTTGCATTCACTATTTGGAGAAATTCTGTCAATGGTGTCTACGGAAGTAACAATTCTTGCTGTAACTGTATAAACAAGAGGAATGTTTCCGTAGCCGTTCATTTACACACTATCGTCGTATACCAGTGACGTTGTGATAAACCACAGTGTTGTGGTACGATCCACCTAATTTACATAGTGGAGTACCGACCAGATAAATATGGGTTGGTACCGGAAGACGAGTGAGAAGTAAGAAGAGATCGAATCGAGAGACTCTGCCCGACTGCGATTAAGTCAACCCATTCTGCAGGAACCGTCTTCCCAAGAATATACCAAAACTAACTGTAAATATTGTGTACCTTTTCCTTGTTTCAATACATTTTGTTTACGTACATTTTGTGTTGTATTATTATTATTCCATGCTTATCCAAG